GGTCATAAGTTACAACTATGTTAGAGCTCCTGATAAAGAGTTGGAGACAGTCATTTTACCAGGTGGCTGCACAGCAACGGAGAGCTTCGTAGTAAGGTTCTGGTGCGGGACGTCTTGTGCAGAGATGAACAGCATATTCTCTGTGTTAATTCTCACTATGAAATAGAAATTCTCATTGTACTGTGCAAGCAAGCTTTGCGTGGTTCCTTCTCCAAACAGAATAATGTCACGGGAGCTTAGCAACAAAGGTTTGAAGAAACCTTTTAGGAATTATGAGACGTTTTTAGAGTTGGTTTGACACTTTCTACGAAGACTAACTTGTAAGTGTGTTATGTGATTTTAGACTGTTTTTTAAAAAAAAAAGCTGTCCAAAAAAAGACAACTTTGCTGGAAGCTGCCTGATAGTGAGGTGCAATAATGACTCACCAACAACCTCGCGGATTGGCACAGGGTCAGCGAGTGTTCCAGGTTCGCTGCGGCCACCGGGGTTTACAGCCACCACGCGCACGCGCAGCAAATCACCTGCTTTCAGATTTTTGATGCAGTATCGGTTAGCTGCAGTCAGCTCCTCGTTAGCTACGACCCAGTCTGTTGCTGTTGGGAAACCAAGGATCTGTGTTAGTGAGAGGCTTTCAGGGTCATTATTCCATATTATGAAAAGAATGCAAACTATCCGCTTTTTCTCCTGATGGTTTTTTATTTATTGCAATTTTCCTGAATGTTAAAAACCCCTCAATTAAACTTAACTGGTTTATCACCTGTTGACACCAGTTTACAAACAACCTGCCCATAAGAAGTATACTTTGGCTACCGTGACGAAATCTCAGAAGGCATGCCGTCATCTGAGCAAATGAGTGCTTCTAAAAGTGGTGTCGGGAGATACAGCGACAGCCGGTAAACTGATGCCTGCCGTATACGGCCCGGACCCAGCAATGAGTATATTTGCCCTCTGACACGCTGGGGACAGGTGCAAGCAAACACTCTCACATACATGTGACACACATATGCAGACTTACTTCCATCCTTGCAGTACTCGATGGCGTATCCATCCAGGCCCGAGTCTCCGATGGTCTCTGGTGTCTTCCACTTAATGGTGAGACTGGAGTCGTTAACATCATCCACAGACACGTCCAAAGGAGCACTGGTGGGGACTGTGAGAGGTTTAGTGCAGTGAAGCTTGATAAAGCATTCTTAATATAGACAAAACAGTTAAAAGTACACACATAATGGGAAAATTAGCAAGATACTTTACATTCTAATGCATAAATATGTGGAGCTGCAACTCAGTTATTTTTATTGATAATTATTATGGAAGATTTTTGTCATTTTCACAATGAAGCATTAGAAAAACAGTCAAACAATATGTTGATACAAGATCTGATTTAAAGCCAAATTCATTTATCATTTCCAGCTTTTTAAATAAGAGGATCTCTTTCTTTAATTTCTTTACATACAAGATAAAAGTGAATATAATTGTTTTAGGAGATTAATGCTACATCTGACACACAGCAGGATCAGATGTTAGTGTTACCTGCAGGAGGTGGTGGTGTGGGGGCCTTAGGTGGCTCCTCGACTACAGCAGGTTCCACTGGAGCAGCTAGCAAGAAAAAGGAGAATATTTACATTTTTATAAGCAAATACAAGAAAAAAAACCTGGTACTTATCCACAGTATTTTTTCTATACAGCAGCATTCAACGATGCAAATGTCCAAACCTTTGAAAAAAACTATTTTACTGCAGAGAAAAAGGCATCAGGAAGTTACCTTCTCACAGATTGGGAAAGTCATGATGGGAAGCACTTATTTGTAATAACGATAATGTTTACCGTCTGCCGGAGCATCTGCAGCAGGAGCAGCAGCAGCATCTTCAGCGGCAGGAGCTGTAGCTAGCATTAAAACGCCGTTAGGGAAGCCAGTTAGATACGAACAATTTGACATTATTAATGCAGGTAATTGAACGTTTTTTGGCATTTTGATAAACTTACAGTGATGTGAAAAAGAAAGTTTTCACAGAACCTTTTGTGAAAACTAAATGTGTATCATATTACAGGACCACCTTTAGAAGTGATAACTTGAAGGAATCCTTGACTATCAGTGTCTTGTGGAGGACTTTTTGCCCACTCTTCTTTACACTGCTTCAGTTCATTGAGACTTGCACTTGAATTTCCCAGAGGAACCCACCCGAGGGATTAATAAAGTTTTATCTTATCTCTGGGTTTTTTTATGCACAGCTCTCTTAAGCTCCTGTCCAGCATTTCATTCGTGCGAAGGTCAGGACTTTGAGTGGACCATTGCAACATCTCGATTCTTTTGCATGCTGTGTTTGTCATAACGCACAGCACCACATTTGGGGAAAAACAACAGCATCTCCACACTAAGTCTTGTGGGTTTTTTTAGATGCTACTTAGCAAGCCTAAGATGAGCTGCCAAGTTCTTATAAGAGAGAAGAGGCTTTCTTTTGGCAACCCTTCCAAACAAGCCTAATTGTACTGTCATGAACTTTAACATTTAATATGTTAATGTGTTGTTTGGAATTTATCTAAGAATTGCACAGTCTGACCTTGGGGTGAATTTGGCATCCACTCGTGAGACGATTCTCGCATTGTGTTAACACAAGCATCTGAATGCTCCACACCAGTCAGCTGCCAAAACTGCTGCTTTTATAGAGGTGCTCAGACTTGCGAATGATCAGTTAACCAGCATTTGATTACCAGAAACCTGCTGCTCTTTACCCTCTTCATTCCTTTGGAAACTGTTCTTTCCAAACAAGTGCACAGAGTCCCACAAAAGCTTTTTTTCACATCACTGTATACTCTACTGAGCAAGCAGCAGGAAAGAGCAGTGTGGGTACAGCTGTGTTAGAACAAACAGGTGACCAGATGTCCACAAACAAAAACCTCAGCAGTTAAGAAAGGTGGAAGATGAACACACAAACACATTTACAGACAGAAACACAAGAAGTGCACAGTGGAACACAAACACATGTTGCATATCAGCTTGCATATGTGTGGAGACAGCCTGTGGTGTAAGTTTACTCTTAGTAGCTGTTCAATCTCCTCTGTCTTCTGTCATATTGCCATCAGTTAAGGTTAAGGGTCATGTGTCGAGGTTTAAAGCCAAAAACACATTGAACCAATTCTTCATTTTATTAGAGTATTGATACAAGAGGGTAACTTGTGATCCAGCTTTCGTTTCAGTCTGCAAAAAGGCTTCAAGCGCTGGTGTTTACAGTTAATGTGTGGTCAACTTGGGGTAAATTACTGAACAGGAGTAGAAGCATGAGAGATTTGTTTTTAAAGAAATGTGTTGTACTTTGCTTATGTAGCACACACTGTAGTTTACACTGTTCAAGTTTCAGATTGTAAAGTAAAATTTAAAACACTACACAATGTTTTGCAAATCCTTTCAACACTAAATTATATTTAAAATAGTACAAAGACAACATATTAAATGTAAAAAAATAAGAAATCCGTTTGCTTTTTGAAAAAACTGTTTGTGTAACTTCTTGGAGGGACATCTCCCAACTAATAAGGCTCTCCACAAAAATGCCACCATGCCAACAAATTCAAGTCGCATGCAAAACAAAATGCAAGATCTAGAAATTCAGCTGCGTTTTCTTAGCTCAGACACATTTAGGTCTTTTATCTGTGACCTGACAAACTGAGATTAGAGGGTTTTGTTTTTAAAATGATGAGTATTTTTAAAATTTACTCAGATTTAGAGCAACAAATGTTGCCATTCAGATGACATCATTTTCAGGGAAAGCCTTGCTTATGTCGGCAACACATTCTCCACATATTACAGCAGCATAGCTCTGTATTAAAGGGTCCCAAATGGCCATGCCAGCAGTCCACACCTGTCACCTACTTAAAACATATGAAAGAAAAAATATGACAAAGGAATGCTGAACTGTGGAACAGCTGAAATCCTACAGCAAGTAAGAATGGAAACCATATGGCTTGTAAAACCATTAAAACTAGAGCAACTGGTCTTCTCAGTTCCCTGTCACTTATAGAGAGAGCTGCTTAAAAGGGAAGGTTTCTGCTCTAAATCGGTATGCTTGGTCTCGTTCAGGTTTTTCTTTTAAGTTTTCCTGGAATTCACATCCCAACTTTGTGGAAAGGGGAGAGTGGGGGTGTTGCACGTGTACTCGGATCCACTGCTAGTACAGGCAGTAAATTATGGCAGCCTTGCTCAAAGTAAGTACTTGTAAAAACTAATGACAATTGTACTGTTACTACTCACTTGATACAATTAGGAAGCACTTTGTTGCACTGCATTCACTTTAGTTTTGATCACTGGCTTTAGGATGCTTCAAAGCTGTCTGATGCAACAAAAGCGTAGAACTTCCTAACTTGGGGGAGAAAATGTCTGCTTATATTCTTAATTAAATCAAACACTGTTAAACACGAGAGCTACCCACGCATAGTCACGGTTAGTAATATTAGCTTGCAACTCTACTCCGTTCCCAAGAGTCTATCGAGATACCGGGAGCGCTTCCTTCAGCAGCGGGGGTGTCTTCTGCTGGAGGGGCGGCAGCTGCTTCTGCCTCGGCTGGAGGAGCTTCAGCAGGTGCGGCCTCGGCAGGTGGAGCCTCCACGGGTGGAACGGGCTCAGGTGCCTTCTCCGCAGCCTTCTTGACTGGTGACTTCTTGATAGGTGCAGGTTTGGCCGGCATCTTGCTGGCGGACGCGAACTCCTCGGGATGAGGCGGTGGAAGAGTCTTAGGTAACATATATACTGAGGGCTGGTGGGCTGCTCCACCCATTCCCATGACTTCTACACCCGCCTACCCACTTAAGCCACATCTTCTATGGGAAGACTGAAGGTAAAGAAATATAAGGAGAAAAAAAAGTTGTGTACCTTTAACTCAGGTAACACACCTGTCGATAATTAAACTGATAATTAAGAAACCATCAAATACGGTCCTTCAACTTAATTGAGTAGTGGCCCATTAGCACCCCCTAGTGGATTATAAAGAAACACGTAAAAAACAGGTAGTGATGTGATGAATGGCATGACTTTATTGTAACAACTGCTCAATGTTAGACATATGGGATTTAATGTGGTTATAGAGACATGCCATACAACCTTTACCGAGCCCACTTTTAAGCCAAGTGCTCCTTCCTGCTGGAGGAAGACAATACAACCACAGAGGACGCTCATTTTCTGCATACGCGGGCCCAACTTTCTCTTAGATCCCTTAAGTGATTGTTGTCGCAGACGCAGTGACTATTTACAGTGTTTACAATAGTGATGTAATGTACAAAAGAGGAAAAACAAAACATCTTTACAAATATTTGCATAAGAAAAAACACAAAAACCCCCACGTCTGCTCTTAAAAACAATGTGAAAAAGAGGAAGATATCCAGTTATTTAAAAATCCCTCCCGTGATAAGGTTTAAGTGCGGTAGGTCCAATGAAAGGAAACTTTGGGAATACACCAGGGATACATGCATCAACATCACATCTCTAGGCTTGCATCTGTTCTCACGCAGCTTCCCATTTCTCAGGCAACTCCCCAATGACGACAAGACCTTCAAGCTTAAGTTGAAGATGGTGTCAAATCGTGCAAAGCAGCCTAGTCATGATACACATTCGCATTAACTGCAGTTTACTGACACACACATCATCTTAACTTACAGCTTATCACATAACTGCCTGTCAAAGGCTCCAAATATATCGATAACCCACTCGAAACCCAAATTTGGGCATTAAAGTGATGACATGGAAGTGACATCAGAGTAGGTCAGTGGAACTAGTTATGTTCCCTCTAGATCGAGGCCTCTGTGTGGTAGATCAAAGCAGCTTTTTAGGCCAAATTGTGTTTCAGGCACAGATAGACTTAGGCATCGTGCCTCTACTTTACAGCAGTAGAGGAACATGTGGGCAGAGTATGGCAGTCTGAGGTACTTCAGGGTCAAGCTAAGGGGTTTAAGAGTATCCCAGCAACCTACAGTTCCCTCCTCTTACACCGCTCTTTATACTTTCTCACTTTATCTCAGTTAACAGTCAAGATGTGAGCAATAAATACTGTCATCTACTACCTCTAGCATATTTCATGTGCAAACCAATGAAGAAACAAAACGGGAGGAAGTCACATTTAAATATTAATCAGTCTTTTCTGACGGTAACTCAAACCATGTGAGAAAAGGAAACTGACAATTAGCAGAAAGTCACGTTTTAATCAAAAGATGGAAGTAAAGGAAAGAGGAAGGAAAATGTTATGGCTATTTTTTGCTAAAGTTTTCTGCTTCTGCTTCAGGGATGATGACACGGGTGATAAACGTCGGCATACGGGCGATCACTGAAGATGACTCGGTACAAAAAATCCTACAAAATCAAGACTTTGAGAGCTGTGTCGTCAGCTATTACAAGAGAAGTCTGTGTTTTAAAACTGATATCTAAATACAGAGTATACGCAAGCATAGCCAGAAACGGTGCTCAATAAACAAGCAGGTCGTGGGTGGTTTTTTTCTTCAATTTTTTTCTCTCTCTGTGTTTATAATTCAGTACATTGACTTCCTGTGGTTATAATATCAGCATAACACTGGTTACCGAGTCCACGTATGATGACATTCTCTTTACAGACTCAACCCAAAATGAAATCATCACTCGTTTCAGTTTTCACCTCATGCACGTTGCTCTTTGCAGCTTCGCAGTTCTGTTTATTCGATAAATGACAAAATAGCAGAACTGAAAAGAAGAAAACATTCAAGGCCTTTTTCATAGTTGTGTTTTTGAGTGTGCGTTATGTTCTACCAAGCACCTTTAGTGAGACTGAAAGCGCACCATGAACAGAAGAGAGGCAGGAATCAATAGATGCTGCCATCTGGAGGATTTACTAGTGAACTGCATGATTTGGCCAAGCCGATCCCCCCATTTGATACACAGTCACTGACTCGGCCTCCTAAAATCCAATTATTACAAGTAAAAAAATAAAGTGCATTTTGGCTGTAGTCAAGTGCTGGTCCTACTTTTTGGGGAGTGATCAGACTGTTTTTCTGTAGTCTGCATTCCTGAAATGACGCATGTGCCTCCAAAATAAACCTATAAGCACCAATAGTTGTTGTGAGGGTTGCGGCAGTAAAAAACAAAAAAACAAAACAAAGGGAACAAATATTCAACGGGGTTATAGGTAATATTTTGTTTTATACTATTTTGGTCACCATGCACTTGCAGATTCAACAACAGCCCATCTGATACCAGCTGAGAGCAGAAGGGAGAAAAGACACCATCTTTCCCCGCCGTGATCATCGCAGCTTCCTGTCAAAGCGGTTTCATCATCTTTCCCATGTTCAGATATCCGGGAGGAGCAAACCCATTGTCCACTGTCCATAATCCTCCTACTCCCTCTCTCTGTAGATTCTTTACATTAGCTTTGTAACTGCTCACTGAGCACACATTAAAGTTCATCTTGGAGTCTTTAAATTCTCATTTGAACTGCATTTGTGAGAGCCGCGCTGTAGAGTCGACAGTTCCTTAGCTTTATCGACAGTCTACTCAGAGTGTAGCCTGCAGAGTGGGATCAAGACTGCCTTCCCTCTCTGGAGACTCTATGCAGTTGGCCGACTCCTGGAGCTTCAGCAGCATGGCCATCTGTGGAGCAGGAGGAGACACAGAAGAAGAGTTAGCCACAGAGAAGATTGCTACACATGTAGCAATCTTCTCTGTTATTAAGTTATTCTAGATTAAGTTATTCTACGTTTAATCCAATAACTGCTCTGCCAGCGTTTTTGACTGTCTTGTAATCAGGCTCTCCTTTCTTATGTGTTTCTAATGCTAAAGATATATTTTCTGTGTCAGAATAAAAGGACTCAGTTGAGGAAACAATCGCAGGAAATTCAGTACATTTATTGAGAATTTAGTACTGATAGACAGTTTTAAACATTCCTGTGAGTATGGAGCACGATGGCCCAGTTACAGTGAGCTGCTAGATGAGGTGTTGCAGGCTCTACACCAGGGGTCCCCAATCCCAGTCCACGAGGGCCGGTGTCCCTGCAGGTTTTAGATCTCACCCGGGGTCAACACACCTGCATCACATGATTAGTTCATTCCCAGGCCTCTGGAGAACTTTGAGAAGGTAATTTATCCATTTAAATCAGCTGTGATGGATCAAAGACACATCTAAAACCTGCAGGGACACCGGCCCTCGTGGACTGGGATCGGGGACCCCTGCTCTACACACCTTTCGCAACATGAACTTTTTTTGCACCATGGTCAATTAATTCAATTAATTGACAGTCTTATTGAAACAATGTCAATTTGTTTGTATTCCCGGCAATATTCTCCACTCTCAGCAAATCAAAATGGACTAAAGCACATCTAGGCACAAAAACTAGAAAAATTTGCATTTCCTGCGAAAATGCTGTGTGGGTGCCTTAACGCTGAAGCTGTCGGCTGAAAAAAGCTGAAAAAGTTGAAAAAACAACAACAAAGCATTTCCCTGAGCAGGATTCAAACCTTTTGGTTTCAAGGCGGCGACTCACCTCACTCCGCCAAACTCATTCTCACAAAGAAGAGGTGGAGAGACTGACAATTCTGGTGAAATTAGCAGAAGCTGCTTAGAATTGTGCTGATAAGAGGTGAAAAGGCTAAAAGTTTTGCAGAAAAGAGTTCAATCAGCAGAATTTCTGCTGAAAAGAGGTTTTTGCTGAAAACAGCTGAAAAAGCTGAAAAGTGGTGAAAAAACTTAAAATTGTGCTGAAAAGGGGTGAAAAAGTTTAACTGTTAACTGAAAGAAATTTTGCCATAAGCGGGATTTGAACCCGGGCCTCCCAGTCTGAGAACGGACGCTTATCTCACTGAGCTAAAACACAGGTCAACCCGGCGAGGAAAATCAGTGAGGCTGCTGATAATGTGGCAGAAATGGGCAAAAAATATTGCAAAAAAAATTCAATATCTCAAAAAGTATAGAAGTTATGAGCACCAAAAGTCATAGCACCCATTAGCAGAAACAGCAGAATTTTTTAAAGTTTGAACGGAGAAAATCGGCTGAAAACTGAGGGAGTAGTTAACGTTCAAAAAACGTACGGAAGCAACTTGCAGAATAAAGAAACAGGCATGGCATCCACACAATCACTCACCAGTGGGTCTGACTCCAGTGTGCTGGGTGGAGGTATGTCTTTAGGAGGCTTCTTCTCCTCACTGAGTGGACCTATGCTAGGAGGAGGTAGGTGAAAGAGCCTGGACTGATCCTGCTGTGCGTTGGGCCAGGGGAGGGTGCCTCTCACCCACTCGACCGGATCCTCCCATACTGATTTATGCCCATGGACCTGACAGGAAGACAAGTCCATAGTGAAAACAGTGTTGTTATAGAGGGGGTTATTGTTTGTTCCACTACTGTTATATTTTGGAAATGTGTGCATGTTCACCTTAATGCCATCTTTGGCTCCTTCCTGCAAGTACGGTATGATCGAGTGGTTCCACAAGTCAATGAACCACTGCCTGAACTCTGCCACTGACACTGGGCATGACAGGAAAAAGCAGGGACCTGGAGGAGGCAGGGTTTTTTGTTAACAGGTCTTTATCATAACAACTCTCTCCCAAGTATCCAAGTCGGACTTTGCTCACTCTGTCTGCTAATATCTCACCTATGAGGAAGTCTGAAGTGCTGTGTTTCTCCAGGAAGGCGTGCAGATGGTACCAGAGCTGAGGGATCCAGTCGAGAACCTGGAGGAGCTCCTGGTGGCGTGCCAAGTCCTGCTCCTGGTCCTGGTAAGCCTCTACAGCTTTACGGTGCAAGTACCTCAGCAGAAACCCATTTGCTGGTTCTACGTTGTTGGAGAACATCACCATCCTGTGGCCACATGCAAGAAACACTTACTTTCTGCGTAAGAGTTAAACAGGGTCACGGAGTATGCTTCATCCAGTCCTCTGCCTACCTGAAGCTCAGGTGCAGCCCATGGTTAGACGTCATTTTCACAGGTTGATTGGTCGTTCCAATTATGTACGGACTGAAACAGCAACAGAGAAAATCTTGTTACTCTTCGATTAAACAAATCTTATTGAATTCTTTGGTGAAACAGAGTAATTCTCAGTCATTTACCATTTGTGATACTTGCAGGTGAGCGCTCCATTAACAAGCTCAGTGATGGCCGCTGAATCGCTAATATCATCGATGATAACGACCAGGGGAAGTTCCCCTCCACACTCTCTGTCAATCTGATTTGCTAGATCTGACAGATACAACTGCAGATCCTGTTAAAAGGTGAATACATATTTTCATACTTGCTTGTGAAAGAATAAGAAACAAAAAAACCCACCAAAAATCCTTAATCAGGTTTTACCTTCTGTGATTGACGGTGCATGTTGAAGGTGATAGCAGGGCTGCGACCCAGGAGACCGGGCTCGTGGCCGGCTTCAGTCGAGTCAGTGCGGCTGCGCTGCAGGAGGTAGTGGGCCAGACGCTGAGCTAGGTAAGTCTTTCCTGTCCCGCTGGGCCCAGACAGAACAAGGCGCCTGTGCTTCATCAGCAGGCTGATATAGTGCAGCATCATGGGCTTAGGAATCAGGGTCTCAAACACCAGTGAGTCAACACATTTTTCCCGGAGACCTGAAGAGTTTCAGACACAGAGGGGAGGATGAGCAAGACGATGTATGTAGCATTTATGAATAACTAAACTGTCTAATTTTATACTAGATCCAGTACTTAAATTACATCAGTTGGTCTAGGTCTCGGGGGGCTTAACCAACATGAAAATAGTCATTTTAGCCCCCCCAACCTAACAATAGAAGAGGAGCTTTTTTCTGTCAAAGCAGGAACCACAGTGAAGGTTTGGGTTGCCAAACCCTGGCCCAGATAAACCATCACATGCTTTCATTACATTCCCAAAGTCCTGCTTTTGTCTTGTGGCTATTTAATAGCACTCTGGCATCCACGACCCTCGAGCCAACCATTTTCATTTACAAAATAGGCCTCAGATTACACTCAAAATATGTGTAAGATTCCTGGAGACTAGCACCATGTAAAAGTTAAAAAGCTGCATGTAATTCATTTAAGAAAATAGACGTCAATAAGAGTTTTGAATACAGCGTTTCAAAGCAAAACAAACTGTTTTCAGCTCCATTTTTATTCATATAGTCCAAATATTGCAACAACTTTTACCTCGAGCTGCTTTGTATTCAAAGATAACAATACAAATAAACCCAAACAATCAAAAAACTCCATGTGAAGCAAGCACGAGCACAGGAAAAACTCTGACCACTCCACTCCAGCCAACTCTGGGAGGGGCAGCCATCCGCTGGTGAGAGGGGGGGGGAGACAGGACATGGAAAAAAAAATGCACTGAATGCACTTATATCTGCTAACCTTTCAAGGTGACAAAAATACGAGCGGGACCATTGCCAAGACATCGATAAGGTGAGCCTTGGGGTTTGTCCCCCCCAATCACCCTCAGCCTGCCCTGGGTAAACTGGTACATGTGCAGGGAGTCACTGGTCAGACCCAAGCTGGCTGTCGGGTCCACTTGACTTAAATAATCCTAAACAAAGAACAAATATATCACAGTTAAAAGTTTACGGTTGAGCAAACAAATCGCAGCCGGGCTACTGAACCACAAATGTCCACTCAATAAAAAAGGAGACCAGATTTACAAGACTTACTTTGAAGGTCTCGGCTATGAGGGAGTCCAGACAAGGCCAGTCAGTCCTCGCATTAATCAGCACTGAGCCAAGGTAGTACTCCTGCTGCTGTTTGTCCTACAGAGAAGAAACAGACGCTTAATTTCCAGAGTGTCCAGTTAAAGCTCTTGACATTATCGGACATTGTGAGTAATAAAAGTGTTCCACGTCTACCTCTGTTTGGTCTCCGATACGGACCAGCAGACGTGCACACACTTCTTCACGCTGAGAAGACACGCTTAGCGTGTCACCTTGAGACGCTTCTGCAAGAGAGGAGGAAATGAGGAGGAGATGCACGCTGCACTTCTTTATGAGGTAAACATTGTTTTAAGGCTTTGTTAGTCTCTGACCTGGATCTTTACAATCATTCAGACTAAGGCTGAAGGATTTGGTGAGGGACATGCTCATTGGCTGCCTCAGAGAGGGCCCCAGGAGGGACGCCAGGCCTGAAGGCTGGGATGTGGAGGAGGTGGGGCCAGAGGCAGGGAGGTGATGCTGGGTTCCTGTTTTTAAATTGACATTTTCTGCCTTCAGGTTCTCCACCGTCGACTGAAACATGAGCATAAAGCTTTAAATTGTAATAACAGCTTTGCAGGTAACTGAACAAAGACACGTGCAGTAGGCAAAACAAACCTGCATGTTTTTCATGGCTTCTCGGAGCTGCTCAAGCTGATGTGCAGAGTCTAAGGCTTCAAGTCGAATATCTGTCAGTTCCCTCTCTTTCACCCAGAGCTCTGAGCGCAACTCTGATACGGCGCTTTCCTCGCCGTCTCCCTCTTCTGTACTTTCCATGATCCTGGAAAAAGCCAAGGAGCCCTTATAAGAAATTTTCATAGACGAAAACTGCACTGCTGAGCTGTGCGGTGGAGTAGGTGTTGTGTACTCACACAGAGGAGGTGGCTGAAGCTGAGGTTTTCAGGGAAGGCAGCATGCCGTCTCCTCCTTCTCCCCCTTCATGAGGCATCTTGGGAGAGTTAGGAGCTGAGGAGTCGGGGGTGGCAATTTCCTCAATGTCAGAGTATGTTTTGGAGCCTTTCTTAATGCTGAATGCTTTGTTGAAGGAGCTCCTCAGCTACATAGAAACAGAAGAGATAAACCGATATAAAACAGTCAAACGATGACTTCACATGACTGCATTCATAACTGGAAAGAAAAAAAAGAGGGAATAGTTAGAACTGTTAATGTGACACATGCTAAGTACAAAGAGTATAAAAAAATAAAGGAATAGTTTGTCATTTTTCACTGCAGATAAAAGCCAAAACCCCCAATCTGTCAAGTATAGTTTCATTTTATATAGAATGAATAAACGAGATATCATCATGTGCATTTGTAAATCTCACAGAGCAGAATATTTGTACCTTTGTTTTAAACCAAGCAGCTGGTGTTAATCAAAAACAAAGAGCCTTCCCCAAAATGACAAACTACCGCTTTGAACTTTCAGTCGTTTTCTGCACTGAGTCCAAGCTCCAATCCGTTTTCTGCACTTAGATTTAGCAGCTGGTTTAGTGAGGGTTACATGGTAAAAGAAAAAGTCATGTATTCTCTTACACAGGGACAAAATACAGGATAAAGTATGATGTAGCAGGGGAGAAACATAACTGAAAGATGCGTTAAATAAACCCGATTAAGCCTGAGCGCTTCGCTTCTTACGGAACATCATTTCTGCTGCCAGCCGCTCTAACCGAATTACGGCCATCTATTCAAATTAAATGGTCACATGAGGCAGCCAATCAGCAGTGTGGGAGGCCAATCAGCAGAGATGGAGGGTACTCGAGGACTGTGCTGCACTTTTAGATGGTCCATCATGCTGTATGACAGGAAATTAATAGAGGTTTTATAGAAACACAGTGACTGAACTCACCTCGAAGACCTAAAAGAGCAGAATAGCACAACACAAAGGAGGGAAAGACTGGTCATACTTCATCCACGCTGCTTTGTCATTTTCATTAAGGAGAACAGACACAGACCATGCAGTGAGAATAACATAAAGCCTCGCAAACAGCTCTTACCCAGCTCTTTTTCTTCTTCTTCTTAGCATCTTGGTCCTTCAAGCTGCCCACGCTGGACATGCTGGTCAAACTGTTCAGACTGGAGATGCTCTCACAGGAGTTCTGACGTCTGATACACAGATCTGGAAAAAAATAAAGAGAGAAAATATTGAATAAAAGTGCTGTGGAGTGAGCGAGAGATAAAAGGATAACCTGAATAGTTTACAGACCTTTGCTGTTATCTGGGTTGTTTAAGGCTCCGTGTATGACAGCCTGGGCTTCTTCATTCCTGGTCTTCAGAGCATCAATGGTCTCCCGGAGCTCCATCAGCTCAGAGTCCTGCACAAACATTAAATAAATGGTTTGAGCAACACTTGTTTGTATCTGCTTTGAAAATCGAGCCGAGTGATAGCTTGTACTCGTCTAGTTATCATCCAAAAAATGCTGCATTTTCATTTTACTGTTTTTTATAACTGGGGATTTTGTGCTGTAATAAATGAAAAAGGTTTTTATTTAAAAGTCATGAATACTTTCATTAAATAACTGAATATGTTATTTATGTAGTGGGAGTGAGCTTTTAGTAATGCACTTCAACTCAAACCAATGCAAAGTGAAAAGTTCAAAAAGACAAGAACAACAGTGCCGCTCATTGTCTGCTAAAATCGATGCCACTCCACTCTAAATAGAGCCGCCCGGCCCATCTCCTCAAGGTTAAAGAGTCTGTGCTTTGGGCTGAACTGCACAGGTCAGTGCACTGGCACAAACAACAAAGACCTTTCCTGGAGTGGTCTAGACAGGGCTTTCAGAGGGAGCAGCAAGGCATGAAGCACTGAGAAAGACTCTGCACACGCATGCTCACACTAAACAGCTCAGGCACCGATCGATTCTTTTACACCAAAACACACAAAGGCAGAAGAATGCAGGAATGCGATGTTTACTTTAGGTGCACATGCAAACTGTTTGAGTCTTTCTTATCATTCAGCCTTTAGAGATTTTTAACACACTGATCCTCCTCCTTTCACACCGAGCCACCCTGCAGGCCTGCAGCCAGGGGCCTCTAACCTAGATTCAGCTCCCACTGCAGGATTCGATCAAAGTCACCTCCGTATTAGCTCTTAGCCGAGTGCTCATGAGAAATTTGCGGTGGTGAAACGCAGCTGGAGCTCAGGTTTTTGTTTGTTTGTGCTTGAAAGCGGGGCTGGGATGTTACCTTCTGTTCGTGGCTTAGCGACAGGCTCTGCAGCCGCGCTGTCATCAGTGCCAAACTTTGCTCAAAGGCGGCCACCAGGTTTGCCTGTTTAGAAAAGACGAGAGACAAAAACAACAATTTAGATTAAACTCAATTTTTCTCTATATCAGGACATCAACGTGTAGATGAACTGGTATTTATTTATTGGCCGATTGGACAGAGCATCGTTTAAAGCAGACATTACGCATAGAGGGACAGATTGAATGGATTTTGTCTGACCCTTTATCCCTGCATAAGAAGTGCTAAAAGGCTGAATGAGGCACAAAGGCTGAACAGGATGTCGTCTGTGCAAAATCCCCCTCCTCCCTAATCTCCTCACACACACCCAGTTTAGCCCAGAGGAGGGAGAGAAAATTACTTTCTATTCTCCTTTACAGAATGTATTAACACAGTAAAATAATGGATTCAGCCCAGTCATTAATCCAGCACATAATCATGCTGTGTGTCGCGCATCTGTTCTGCACATTCACTGCCCTCACATGAGAAGGTCAAACAATGTGAAAAAAAGGGGGGGTGTGCACACGCACTGATTGATGTCTCCTGCATGAAGCGGTGCATAATTCCTGCATTTTATTGCCGCAATCAGACGCATTGAAAATGCTGACTGGATAGTTATATTGAAACAAGGGAGGAGGAGGAGCGAGGCACATGTGTACGTGTGCGTAGTGAAGCTAAGTGGCTTTTTAGAGGGGAAGATTAGCATTACTTAGACTCAGCAAAGATAAGAAACATCCTGAAAGTGCAGAGAGATGATCTATGACCGACATGACACAGGTTCTCTCTCTGTTCGCTTTTCTATAAAGGGTCAATTACTTGAGTAGTGTGATATGCAAAAAGGAAGTCTCGCAATAAAAAAAAAAAAAGCTTAACATGCTTTGTGCAAAGCAGCATCGACAGAAAGTGCATACGTTTGACGTGAGCTGTGTCGTTAAGTTAGAAACCTTCTCCTGCGATGACTCCAGCTCTCTTCTCAGCTTGCGGATTTGCTGTGAATAAAAGCAGGAATGTTCCAATTATAAGACGGCCGAGGCCACTAAACCGGACATTATGCAAGTGAGTGGATGGTGCAGATGACGACTGACAGGCTTGTTCTCCCACAGACAACAAGGATGAGAGTGGATGGGAAAGGGGGAAAAAACCAGCTGAGTAGAAAGAGCTGGGCAGAAAACACTTACCTCTCCCTGGATCCTTTCCTCAGCCTTGGACAGCATAGGGGATAAGAGTAAAGATGTTAGCAAAGACACAGACGAGAGGAGTGGGGCCTGATAAGGTACAGGCTGCAGTTTCAAGTGTTTAAAGCGTGAAATAAGAGGAAAGCGTCATTGCACCAACATACATCCACACATACAGCATACGCTGAGCTGTAGCTACCTGAGTCTGCATGCTGCCCAAACTCACCGAAGAGTAGCTTGATGAGTTGGAGGCCAAGGAGAGTACAGAGCCATGAACTGAGCATAAATAAGAGTAACACACACACAAAGAAAAACAAATCCATTAGAGTTGAGATGAAGTCAAACAGATCCTACTTATCAGATGACAAAAACGTTCAGAAAAAATCACCATCTTCATTCGACTCCCTGTCCCTGAAGGATCCGGAGCGAACCATTCCCATGCTGCGGGGACGTTCAGCCAGTGACACCGTGCTGCCCAGAGGCGATGCCCCGTACAGCTCCATAGAGGCATCGTGTGTCGGGATGCTGTTGGATCGAGTCATCCTCGGCGGGCCGCCCACCGGGCTCGGCACTGTTATAAGAAATAGAGTTACCAATGCTCTGCAATACACATCAAACAAATGTATGCGTGTCAGCATTTATCATTTGCCATCATAGTGTGTGTGCTTGTGTATCTACGCACCCATGCTGGTCTTTGAGGTTCGGGGCAGGGAGGTGGGTGACGACAGCAGTGGAAGAGCGAGCGAGTCGGTCATACTGAGAATAGTATGAGAGTGCCTCCTCTCTCCTTTCTCCTTCCCATCCTCCTCGATCTGGGAGGCACTGCTGAAACTACAGTTTAATGGACCAAGTCAGTGTTGGCAGTGGTAAAAGTCAGCTGAATATCTCGACGACCAAAACACACAAAATGCTCCTGGCAGGGCTCATTGAGAGGGAAATGAGCAGCAGGAATGATGTTTCATAGAGCTGTGGGCAAGATCCACATAATCTGCCACACAAAGGGCATCTTATCAATCAATCTCTGTGTTTGTGCGTGCAATTTTAACAAAAAACACACATTTAAAGTTTGTGTGTGGAACTACTTACCTTAAACCTTTCTTTGGCAGCGTGTTTCTGTCTCTCTGAGAGCTGTGGAGATTAAACAGTGTCATTAATTAATCACTAGTGCAGGGAGTTATTAGAGTCTCAAGCACAGACAGCAGGCACAAAGAAACGCAGTAAGACTGGAAGATGGGCAGCGTCAGCTAGTAATTATGACTTCAGTCAGTAGGGCTAGTACAACACTGATAACAGCCCTGCAGTAATAACAGCCCAGCAAGCCTCAGCATATCTCTCTCTGCTTTAGTGTGTGTCTGTGTGTGTGCACTGTTTGCTTTATTTGTTGGCTGAGTTTAAGAAAAACACATTTTCATCCTTCTCATTAAGAAAGGGGACAAATTATCAGGCAGACTTTAGGGCTCTAAATTTGTCATATTCAACATCGCATTCAGAACGATTCGTTTTAGAGCTAATGTTGTGTTGTTCTCATATCCACACAGGGCTCCTGCAGAGAGGGCTAGTTTAAAACTCATCATCACCATCAGCACTCATCATCCAGGATGATTAAGCAAGCATTGCTAAATATTTTCAATATTTTTAAGGATCTCCTCGTCATGTTGTTCTTGGTTTTTATAAATGCCCGTTGTCTGTATGACATCTACCTGGTTGCTCGATTCTGGGGGGAAACTACAGATTATCAAAGCTCTTCCCTTCTGCTTTCCTGAGCAGTGAATAAAGTTGGTGCACTTCCTCAACTGACCAAAAGGTGGAGCTACTCGGTTGCCCTCTATTTAAACCCTGGGATAGACTCGGCTGAATATGCAGTGTGTGCAGCATTATGGATCGTATTTGAGTAGAACTGAACTGACCTGTCTGTGGGAGTCAGTGAGACTTTACTTCCGGGTGTCCAGCTAGAGGGCTGGCCGCTGTCATCGTGTCTATCTTTGACTCGGGACTCTAAGGTGGTGTAGCCTCTCGTCAAATTCTCCCCCCCTTTATACTCCTCTCTCTCCTGGGGCTCTGGGGCCAGGCTCATCTGAAGTGGCAGAGACTCCAAGCTACGATGCAGCCCAGACATCCGAGGGTAGAGCAGGGGAGAGGTTCTCCCTTCATTGCTTTCTACCCCGAGGGACGTGACCTGCCTGGGACCCAAACCTATGCCAGAACTGGAAAAGCAGGCTGAAGAGTTCACATTTAGTACAGGGGCAGGGCTGGGGGTCAGGCAAGAACTAGTGGAGTTGCCTGCTGAACCAGAGAGGTCTTGAAGCTTAGAGTAAGGAGGAATCTTAGGAGGCAAAGTGTCCCGAACCTCAGTGTCCAGGCTGTTTGAGTTCAGCTTGTCGAGCTGAGCCATCGATGGAGGCTTTGCCAGGCTACGCACTCCAGACAACCTGAAGACAGAGAAAGACAATGTTGAAGCAAGTGTGTATTTTAGATGTGATCGTCTGTTTATGTGGAAATGGAAGCTAATGAGTTTTGATACCTGTGTGTGCTGGGAGATGGGAGATCCATGCCCTTGCTGCTGCTGGGGGGCCTCAGCCCTTGTACTTTCCCTCCGTTCTCTGATGGGGTCTGAGCAGGACTTCCCTTCATTGACCCTCCCCCACACTCAGAGTCAGAAACCACAGCTTTAGCTTTGGCTCTCTCCTTCTCCTTCTCTCTGTCTGTTTGATTGACAGGACTGGGGATGCCACGTCCTCCTGGTTTACTCAGTCCTGTTCCAGAACCGTGTCCAGAGCCCGGCTCTTTGAGCCTTGAGCCCTGTGATGCTGCGACGGAGGGTTTGATGAGTCCAGAGCCGGTGTCCATGGTGGTGCTCACCGGGCGAGCTGAGCTCGGCCGTGTTAAAGTCAGGGTGCTCGTTTTTGCGGGGCGGGGCAGAGAGCGGTACTGCAGAGACGTTCTGGCATTTGGAGACAGGAAACCACTCTGATCGCTGCTCGAAACATCGAGACTTGTCTTTCGTCCTCCACCACCAGCACCTGGCTTCACAGGGATACCTGACGTTTTGGGAATTTTCCCTACAGTTGCAGAACCGCTGGGTATGCCGCTGCTAACTGCACTTGTTACACTGGGCGGACTTGAGTTGTTTGTGCTATTACTGGTAGCTGCTGCTGGTTTCTTGAAGCCAAAGTTTCCACCAGTGGAGGGCCTGACCAGGCCGGATGGAGGTTTACGCTGCTCAGCAGCTCCGGTGCCATTTCGATGGTCTTTACCAGCATCAGAGGAGGAGCGCTGAAGACTTGAAGTCTTCACTGCTAAACGGGACTTATCCATGGGCTTCCCATCAGACTTCACGGTACCTAAAGCAGAAAAGAAAAAACCCTGATGAGCAGCTTGAACAGAGTTAAGTAGTGTGAAATGATGACTGAAACTAAGCACGCCACATTAGGAGACAATATCTTATCTACACACCTACGATGTCTGACTGTCAGCTGATAAAAATAAATCCCTGTCTGAGCAAGGAGACAGTTTGTAGACCAGACTCACAGCCAGCTTAACCCTCACATGTGCTGTTATCAGGCAGTTACTCCTCTTTTCCATCCTGATGAACTGAAAAAGTTTCCTTCTTCCAGCAAGTTTTTTAAGCTTTCCAGTCAGTGAACAGTGACGTCACAGCTGTAGAGTGGCAAAATGAACACGTGCAGCATGGTTGTTCACGTTCATGAAGCATGTCTGCAGGCACTAAACTGCATCAAACAGCCAACACGACTGAATTTCCCCCATGTTGGAGGCTCACTGGGGAAAGGTGAGGCAACTTAGTGAAACAGGGTCCCCCATTTGAACACGTCCCAGTTGGCAAATTAAACGGACTTGTTTGGAAGTTATTAAGAGAATAAAAGTCTATTACACATGTGCACTGCATGCACCACCCACACAAGTCCGCACTACCAACACTCTCTTAATGTGCATCTGATGGGAGTAGTTATGTGAGGTTTATATACAAGGCATTAACAGAGTCAAAGAACCGCTGTTGAATGAGACCTACCGGCATGCTGCCTGGGGACATCTGGAGACACTTAAGAGTATTTATAAACCCGCAAAAGACAGACACACACACACACACACACACACACACTTGCAGTTCTTAGTGATTGGATCTCGCAGAAAGCACTGGGTTATTTCATATAAGTGAAAATTGGGTTTACATGTCAAATCAAAAGCTCAATCCTTTGTGTCACCGCATCGTAGCCTGTTCCATGAACACTGGGCTGAAGAAACACACACTGTTGGCATTGAGACACACCGACAAAACTCAGGCAATTGTATTAATTGTGACACAAATGAAGCCTGATTTACCGACACGGGCTTGTAGAGACAGTGAAGCTCACGGCTTCACACGGTAAGCGCGTAGGAGAGGTGATGAATCACTGCGTTTCTCAGCACAAGAGGCCAACATGTCTGAAGATATGGAGATGTGAGCACAACGCTCAAATTCAGAGCGACTGGCAGACAGAGAAACCTTTTTCAATAAATCATCAAAAACTGGCTTCTCTGGCTCTTAAAGGAAAGTGGCTCACGTGTAAATGCTCCTTCTTCTGCTGAATGCCACTTTGGTAAAGGGGAAAGATTGTATCTATGCTGCGCTCGCTACGTATGGAAACCCACCCTAATACTCTTATTTGTCAATAATACCAGTCTCCCGGGACTCACCACTTTTTTTTTGCAAGACTTGAAAAATCTGCTGAAATCATCTCTCATCAGTCATAACACCGAGACCATGTGTGGCCACGTATATGTTGTTGTTAAGATACAGTATCAGTAGTTATTTGTGTGTGCGTAAGAGGCTGGCGAACGTTAGCTGTAGTTTGTCTCCTGTGACAGAGGGAAAAAGACATACAACCTGTCCACAGCTCAGCGATAACATAATGACGAACACTTGAAAATATGCAGTGTGCTCAGACTTTAAAAAAAAATCATTTTGCTTACTGTGAGATCCTGGTACACCATAACTCACAAGGACAACAGAGAAGATGCCCTTTGTGAGCGAACCGAGGCTCCAGGGCTCCACTAATAAAGTCTTCATTTCTATATCAGTCATGCGGAGACAATTCACAACTTCATCTGTGAGCACTTCACAGTTTCAACGCACCGTCTTATTTTTAGAGATGACACAGTAAAGGAGATGTTTACTTTCTGAGAAGTAGCTCCTGCAAAAGTGCAATATGAGAGAACGGGAGCGAACAGAGCACATGTGATATGACGTCAGTTTTATGGATAACACGGGTAGGTCACTGACAAATTAGACCCTCTCTGAACTATTTGCTTACAACTGTCTCATACAAATAATCAGCAGCTGAAATGACACTTAAAATGATCTTTAGCTGCTGTTTTATCTTCTGCACTTACTAAAAGTATGGTCTGTGCTGTACACAGACACATGGAGGAGACAGAGATAGTATGGAAGTGCATCACACTGCTCATCCCAACATGCTGTCGCTTCTTCAGAGTCACACACTCTGCGTCTCCTACAATTCCACAAAAATGCAGACGCATAACAAACGGGGCGCACACACCGTGACGCACAGCACCCTCCTAGCCTCAGCGATAGACTGCGCTCTGTGAAACTCTAAGAATGACTGCTTCTCATGTGACTAAACCCCGGAGCTTCTCCGCACACCGACAAGCAACAACAAACTTTTTTTTTCCAAATCTGTTTTTGTTCGACTTCACCGCCTGATTTATTACAGCCTCACACTCGGTGGCGCATCGAGCAGATAGCAGATTCATACTGCTGACATCGATAACAATAACAGCCTGGCACAAAGATCACAGGCGAGTTCAACACATCTGTCATTTCAACAGCTGGCAGTGCAAACGCACCACCGTTCCACAGAAACAGGACTGTTTACACAGACCCCTGGCTATCTGGACTGGCACATAACACCGCAACTAATATCCTGCTGTTTCGGTTGTCTATATGTGTGCAAGTCTGTGCGTGTGCATGCGTGTGCATACATAAACAACACACAGATGGTGTGCCCAAAAGGCAGCTGCACAATCCCTACCATTGTGCTCTTTCTGTGCGAGTGTGTGTTAAGTGTGATGGGTGACAGTCTTTAAGGCTGGCACAATCTCAGTCATGGCTGCACTCACAGCACACATTATTAGAAGCACACGCGCTCTTATAAAGGCCCTTATTTTAGCACTATAAATTATCTCTGTTCAACACAAAAATAACGCTTGGCTAGGAAGAAGCTATAGGAAGAAAAACACTGCTGGTCAGTGTGTGGTGTGTGTGTTAGTCACTGGCTGGCAGGCAGCAAGGGTGTGGGTGGTGATGGGTGTTTGATACATGGCACCACTTTCTAAAGGCCCGGAGGGTGGGCTGCAGCTGTGGATGAAAGTGTGTGACAGAAACAGAGTGTGTCTGTGACTGTGTGAGTGAGAGAGAGAAAGGACTATTTAAAGACAGCCTGAGAGACGTGTCTGGTTAAGAAACATTTCAAGTAAAACTATATGTTCTATACATACTTTTCACACACAGTATTTGTGTTTTGCCACTCACCTGCCACTTTCAGCCCAGTTTGAGAGGTGTGTGTGATTGGGGAAGTGACTCCCACAGGTGGGTTTCTTCCTTTCTTCAACACATTTCCTTGACCCAGGGTTTGAGGTTTTCTCAGCTCACCCTTCCCACCTTCCGGCCCCTCCCCTTGCAGCCGGGTTTTCTTCCATTTATTAGCGGATTCGGACTTGAGGCTTCCTGTATCGTAGATGCTGCTGCCCTGGCTCTTGCGGCTGGGTTTGTTATCATCGGAGTCCCAGGACAGGCCGCTCTCCACTAGAGATCTCTTCTCTGCATCTGTACGCATCTAGAGTAGAGAAGAGACAGACACATGCTTTGAGACACTGCATCAAAAAAAGTCTGGATAGCCAGCACGTGCAGTCTGACCAACAGAACACGTACACAGCAATTACTTTCCCTATCTAGCAGGTTTGAGTCATTTGCGCTGCCAATTTTACGCTTCTGAGGCTCATCTATGAGCGTTTTGATCGTCTGAAAGCTGGTTTGGAAAAGAAATGTATATAAAAAACCCACATTTGCGTCATGTCACACTTTTAAATATGAAAAAAATAAGAGACAACAACATGGTTTTAAATGTAAAGACAGTAAAATGAAAAAATAGATCCCACAAAATAGAGTAAAGATGCCTCACAAGCTAAATCTATTCAGAAAACTGCACATGGATAATTGGCCCAATGCATGGCCTGTCGTGCTTTTTACATGCAACTGTCATGTTTCTGGTCTTCAGATATGTACCACGGCCCTGCAGCTTTCTAGCAGTCAGACTGGATATTAAACTCACACGGTTCTCTACCCTAAAGCCTGTGTAGTGTCCATTTGAGCCTATGTGAGAACAGCACAGGTAACGAACTGATGATAGAAAAATCTGCTGTGTGTGGAATCATATCAAGCTACACTTTCACATTTTAACTATTATATGCATTTTGGCAGTTGTTACATGTTTTTAGGTAGTTTTGGTGGACAATGTAACACATAACACACGCCTGGAGGCAACTGTTGTTATGATTTGGTGCTGTGTAATAAATATGAATAAAACTAAAGAGTAAGTTAAACATTAAAGTTGACACCAGTTTTAAAGAACCTTACTCCTTTACCTAGTCCTTCAGACTAAACCTCCTCTTGCAACTACTGTGAAAAATAGGCTTGGTACACTGGAGTGAAGGACCTCTTAGAAGGTGCATTACTGGTTGCAAAAAGGAGAAATGTGACGTTCAGACAGATCCACACACTCCGCCTCATCTTAAAGCCCTTTGAGCAGACAGTGCACAACTCCGTCAACCCAACGACATATGGATGTCTCGTCCCCTCCGTCTAAATCCTATTGTAAGCTCTGTTTAAAAACTTCAAAAGGAGAAGTGGACTGAGACGGCTGGAACAGAAACCGCTAAAAACAAAAACCCCAAAACATATCTACACAAAGAAAGTAGACAACACTGCGTAACTATGAGAATGTCAAATGTCAAACTAAAGGACACGTGGAAATCAGGCCGTTGTAAAACCAAGGTCTATTGTGTGTGAAGGTTTATGACAACAGCACTTTTTACAGATTATTCTCCCGCTGCAGGAGGTCGCCAGTTGCACAACGGATTAGAAAGTGTGTTTGTGTGAGAGAGAGTGTGTTTGGGACATTGCACCTGATTCTCATGAGGACTCATGCTGAATTCCATTTTTTATTAAAACCAATAGACCCCATGGGCAGGTTTGCATGACACGAGGAGGAGCTCGGCCTGACTGTGTGTTGTATACACACACGTGTGTATCCTGTTTGAAAGACCTCGCTGATAAAACACTGTCATTTCCTCACACACATTCCTTGTTTATTGAAAGATGGGGTAGTGCGGGTGAGATACACATCTGGTCAGATAGCTGTGACCAAATGATTAACAGACAAACAGGCAGACAGTGAGGCAGACAGGAGCATGCACAAATACACAAAGGCATGAGGAAAAACTGCATTAACTTGAGGTCTTGTTCCAGGTTTTTCTACTACCTACATATAATACAGCCTAACTCTGCACAGTCTCTCTTTGTGCCCCCTTTCCTAGATTATCTTTCTCTACCGCCCCCATGCCTCTGCTCAGGATGTTATACAATATGTAGGAGGGAGATGAGGGATGGATTTGCCTTTGTCTTTAAGGAAATTAAAAACAACAGCAACAAACAAGGACAGGATGCAGTGATGGAGAGGAGACAGGGAGACAGAGAAATGGGACACAAAGACCAAGAGAAACGCATCAGCTGAGAATGCAGAGAAGGCACGGAGCATGTGCATTATACAATGTGGGGTGCATGACGATGGGTGATGGCTGGTTGCCATGGTAATGATGCCATGGGGTGTAATGGTTGCTATGACTCTTGCAATTAGGCGTGGAGGGAGGCGCCCCGGTTCTTCCGCCTCGCTGGCCCGGATGCAGGACTGCAGATGGCCCTGCTTGTATGTGTGTGTATGTGCAGATGGCTTCGCTTTAGACCTGTCCTACAGTATATGGGTAAAGACAAAGCCTCTGCTCTCAGCATCCCTGCACTTTGGTTGCTATGGTTACACTGATTCCCTCTGTCTCGCTCGCTGTCTCGCTCCCTCTAAAAACCCACCACTTCAGTCACATAAACCACACTGCGGAGGTGTGACCTAAATCAGACACTCGGGGACACACACACACACACACACACACACACACACACACACACACACACACACACACACACACACAGAGTTGGAACCCATATAGCTACAGATGGATCTTGACGAACTCAGCCAGGCTGTAAACAGAATTTTAAGCAGAGGTCATTGGTCCCAAATGCTTCCATCACCGCAATAAATTCTAAGGACTGCAGCAAACATACAGCATATAAATGCATAGCGTGAACAACCACGATCACTCACAACAGTTACTTCTACCTCCAAGCTGAATATACCACTGAACTAAGCCACAACTACAGAATCGGCTCGATCCAGTGGATTTAAAATCGTAGCTAGCAATGAGCATCTTACTATTTTAGCTCATAATTTGAGTACAATACTTAAAAGATTTTTAGAATACCTAAAATTATTACAGATTAGTACACTAGCTAGTTGTTGGTTAGCCTAAAAGAAAGGACACATTTAATAGGTTGTCTTTTTCCACCCAAACTGAATTTGACACTCCTCCACTAGTTGAACATGTTCCTAATGTATCTGAAAAATTCAGCTTTTAACAAGTGAGCACTTCTTAAGCTCAAACATTTCTGAAAATATACACATCTTCATATATATGTAATGAAAAGAGAGACGCCACGGAGCAGTGCAGTGTGTTTGCGGCAAACTTTGATTGCTGCAGATGTGACAGATATTATGGGCGTGTGCAGAATAACTAATCAGGCTTTGTCTGTGATGCCAGGGTCCTGCTGCCTGCGTGTGTGTGTGTGTGTGTGTGTGTGTGTGTGTGTGTGTGTGTGTGTGTGTGTCTCCTCTGTACACTGACAAAGTGTGTGCATTCAATACCTTTGTGGATTAACAGCTTAATCAATACTACTGTAATCAGTGCACGCACTTCTTATCCGTCTGTGTCAAACAGTTGCGCGTCTCTATTTTGTGTGTTTGTGTGTCACTCACCACAATGCTTGAGTTTCTGCGGGAGCCAATGGGAGTGGTAGGAAGAGAGTTGAGAGTGGGACTTGTGTTGAACTCTTCAGAGCTCAGGTTGTCTGAACCGTCACTCAGTCCACTGCTGATGGAGCTGCTCTCATCCCAACTAAAAGAGATCATGACAAGGAAAATATGTCAGCTAACATTAATGTGTAAAGTAATTCCCTTCTTAAATGCTTAAAATAAAAAGAGAAGAGGATCTGGATTTCCTAGCGTACAGCAACAGTAAACAAAAGTAATATAAAAACTGTTTTAAAGACAATATTTGCAGACACTTTGAAAATAGCTCCAGTAAAGGATTCAATAGTTTTTACATGAAATAACCGTATGAAGCCATATGTAATAAGAGAGAAAAATGAACCCTGTCTCTTCTAAATATATATAATAAACATCAATTTTGTAATGTTAAAACAGACGGGGTTTATTTCTACTGTCTTGCACTTTAAAATATGCGTCACTTTTCTTTTTTACCACAAGTTGTCCTGACATTTTTAGGTGACTTTCATTCTAAACGAGCACAGCTGCTGTGTCAGTTAAGAAGTGCTTGTGAACAGTGTGATAAAGGAGCCCATCATTTAAAGACACCATCATCTGTGATCAAAGGTGTGATCATTTCATCATCGTTACAAAAGCTTTTCTTTATTAAGTGCAAGTCTGTGACTGTGCTACAATAACTAGGTTAAACGCTGCGCTCCTATTTTTGTTTCACAAATGTGGGCTGGTCTCCTTCACCTGGTCAGCCAGAGTTTAAGTCCCCGAGGCATCAAGCCTCCACTTTTATCAAAGTGTCCTTGATCAAGATAGCAAACCATTCCAAGTCTGTGCGGTGGTTTACCGTCTGCCCCTGTAAGGCCAATCATGTATCACACATTCAACAGAAAGAAAGCAATCGGTGTCAGTTCACTGGTATCGCCTTGAATCCATTTATCGCATCAACTACCAAAGCTCCATCAGCTCGGTTACCACCTGAGGTTGGGCTCATTCAGCTCTGTGTCTCTTAATTTGTCTTTTGATTAAATGTTCAGAGCGACAGAAACCTTATTTAGAGCACCGTCTGCTCTAAATACCCAACTTTTGCACTGAAACATTTGGCAAACTGAAATCTGGAGCACTCGTCATCACATCATCTCAACCCACACACACAAAAATAGCACTGAAGAAGATGCATGCACCCACGAGTGCATACAGGACTGCATCAGAAATATGAAGTCCCCTGTCAGAAATCTACCTCGCTGTCTCTTTTCCCAGTGAAAAGCCTTCCTGTGTGACAGAGAGGTTGTGGGTGGTTCTTGCTTTATTTAGGTCTAATAAAAAAAATCCACAAACATCCAACTTTAAAGTTATTTCAACTTCAGATAATGCTGACACTATGAGTTTCACGTACGTGAGATACAATTGAATCGGCAGCTTATAGATTCATGTGCTCGTATACATGAATAGGCCATGTTTAGGAAGTATACGGGTTCGATTTTTCCTCTTATTAAGGTCAATAAGTAAGACTGATGTCATGTAATAACGTAAAACAAGTTAAGTGGGCAGTGATGGGCTAACAAGGACAGATATAACGGGGTGCAGGGGGTGGTGTAGGCAAAGGAAGCGGTATGATCCTTCCAGTTGGGTGCCTGTATGGGTCACACTGTACCCTCAGGGAGATGGTGGTGGGGGTGAGAGGGAGTGGGGCAAAATGGAAAGCCCTCCCCGTCTGGCCCGTGGATATCTTGGATACAAAGAAAAGCAGATCAGATTTTCCAGTGAGAGTGGCTGTCATGCTGCTGTCTATATGCCGCTGTAAGATTAAGGGCAAGTTTAAGATTGAGTCAGACACATCCAGAGATCTGACCGATACTTTGTGGCTCGATGGGAAACGCAGCAAAAGCAAAGCAAATGTTACTGTTAAGAAAACAGAAAGAAAGAAACAACAATGCACTGATGGATTTTGGTGCATTTTCACATTTAAAAGCATTTTATGGCACTTATATGGTGTATTTCTAATTTTAGTGACAACTCCAAGTATTCCACTTCACCTGTTCACACATATTCAAACAGCACTTCATTCTATGCACTTAAGTGCTCTATCTATATTGCATCCACCCCCACGGCCAACTGAGAATCACCAAATAATCTAACAGCTCAGAACGTGGGAGGAGGCCGGGGGAAAGCATGCAGGCAGAAAACCAGCCTGAGAATCTGCTTGCTGTGAGGCAACTCAGGCAACCCTGTGCCACCCAGGACGTCTAATTTTGATTCAGATGTTATTTGAGATGAATTTGTACAGAGATTGTATATATTCTTCCTTTTTTTTTTTTAATAATAAGAAAAAAAGAAAACTTATTGGACTATCAAACTGCCAAATTTTGCACAAAAATTTATGTTTCCCTTTGCACAAGACAACATTTAAAAAAAAGTGGAATAGTCTTCCAGATGTTAGCCACAGACCTTTGCGCTCTCCTCGTTGTGGACTGCACGCAGGCCAAGCCACGCTGTTGTACAAATTTCAACTCATCTGACAACAGAAAAGTTTTCCACTTAGCCACAGTCCATTTTGAAACAGCTTTGGTGCTTGTGGATTTGGCATTTGTGGATTGCACGGCAGACTGTATTCACAGTGATTTCTGGAAGTGCTCCTGAGGCCATACACTGACTTTCAGCCCTGTCCCTTGCCTGCAGCGATTTCTCCAGATTCTCTGATTCTTTAATGATATTATGTACCGTAGATGAGATATTCAGTCTTCTGTAAGAACACATAGTTTATGGTAGACTCTTGGCCCATCTTTGCTTCTGAGGAACTCTGCCTCTCTAAGGTCTTTTTATAACCAGTCATGTTACTGACTTGCTGCCAATTAACTGCAAAATGTTCCTCCAGGAAATCAAGGTATTAAAAAAAGCTCACTGCTGAAACGCAAACATTTTTAGATAGACAGCTGTGGTTAACCATCTGTAGCTCTCGGGAAACGCTAGGCTGTCCTTCATATCCCATTATTCGCTTCAAGCTATCGGCTTGTCCACCAGCGCTTCACTGAAAGATAACACACCTCTATGGTGAATAATTCAGACGTGCCAGAAAACAGAACAAACACAGCCAGTGCTGGGTTTGGTGTCACTCAGCTGACAGATATGGAAATACAAACCCACAGAAAAGCGAGGCAAGGTCAGAGGTTGAACTTTACCAAAAGCATTCATTAAATGCACTATATGCAGTGTAGAAGTAAATAAAATTTGAAGCTGATGATTTAATTTAAAAAAGAAGAAGTTTTATCTTGATTGTGGAAAGTTACAAGCTGCTGAAAAATGAAACTTTCAACTCTATAACAGATATTAACAGAGACTCTCTACTGAAAGCTTTTCTTTACGATGCCAAAAATAAAAGACACACACACATACATACCTACCTATATCTATCTCTAGTTATAGATATGAAACATTTTTTTTATTTCCAAGTCAAAACTTCTAAGTAGCTGCACCTCTCTCTCTTTTTAAAAGTTCAATGTAATGAAACCTGAACTTGAAAAGAGCGGTCTGAAATACAAAGACACTCCAAGAGAAGCGGGTAAAGTGGCGTGTGCAGAGAGAAGAAAGAACTGAAAGGACACGTATAAAAGACAGGGCCTTTAGTGGAAAGAGAAGAGCTGTTAATGCTTAAAACTTCCTCAGCTTCTCAGGACATGATGCACTCAGTGAAGAGGATCATCTCACACTCATAATCTTTCCTCCCTCCGCCTTATCTTTGTACATTCACCATCAGCAGCTGCAGAGACTGAGGGATATTAGCACCCCCTTCATTTACATCAACACTTTTACAGATTAGTGCTGAGCAGGAAGCGCTGCTTTAGTCATGCCACTTGCCTGTAACGGCTCTTTTTATTTTAATTATCTGTTAACTACAGTTAACTATGTTCCTCTCGCAAGCAAGGTAACACTAGAAATGTTACAATTTCCACCAATATGTAACAAATGATAACTCTTAGTATGCTTATATAAAACCGAATGAATGCAAAAATGGCGATGTCTCGCCTATTACGCTAAAGAAATTTGGTTTTTTGTGACTTCCAAACTGATCCCAGGCTTCAAGAACACAGCTGGTGGGAAGCACAGTGGTCAAGATATTGAACAATGGTATCCTGCAACAGTAACACTGTGAGCAAAATGAATATCAATGCTGATTCAATTAGGCTGCAATAAATGTCTATTAAGTTGAGTTGTGCTTGATTAAGCTCCTTCTTCACCTCCACCTGACAATTTGAGTCATGTGCAAGCCAAAGCACCGGGCAGAGTAACGACTACATCACACGGACACGCTGTGCACGTCCTCTCGAGCCAGCTGTGGTTTCCTGCTGTACCCACCCTGACAGGAGAAGCCACAGTGAGGCACTCTGCAGCCTGTGGTCTGTCCAGAGAAATGTTATCATCTTCTGTAAAGCGAGAACTTTTCAAGCATTTACAGTCATTTAAATGGTTTGGATATTTGTCTGTCATGTGCTGCATAAATAAAAGTCATGGTGGTCACTGTAAACAACATCCTCCTTTCACAGAAACATGATTTCTTTGTGCCTCGTTTTCTGCATAGATGACCGGCACACCCACACAAACACTAAGCCTCACAAGCTATCAAGAGAATAGCTGAATAGTTGCTGCTGAGTTAAATAGCCAGCTTTTATTAAGAGGCTTCTGCATCCCCCCTCCCACACACACACCCACCCTTGAACCCCTCTATTCAGACTATGGAGCTAATTGCTCTCATCTCTATGTGAATGGTCTTTTTTGCCGCTCCTTATAAGAGCTTTGCACTCTCTTCCCCTGGTCTCATCTCCTGTCCCACTCATTTGTCCGCTATCTTGAGTGAGAGGAGGAGGAAAAAAAGTCAGTGAGACAAATGTAGAGACAAAGCAGCTTTGGCTGTTTTTAAGAGCAGTGCTTGCTGGGAGTTGAAGTCCCGACAGAGCCAACAGAAATGGTGCGATGTTAAGGTTTTCATCTCGATAAATATTTGCTGATCCTGTGTCGGGAGCAGCTAAACTTTAATTTTTGACTTTGCTGCTTTGTCTGCAGTAGTTCAGCTGCACCAAAGCAAACAGCAAGTCGACAACAAAATGCCGTTATCTAATTACA